TGGTAGTCACTCTGGGGACCTGAACAGCTGAGTGCGCCGCAGGCCCAGGGAGTAATCCAGGGAGGAGGAGACTGGTGCCAGAGATCTCAGGTTCGGTGTGTGGGTCCCCTGATGAGGCAGTGCTGGTAGCTGAGCGGTGCGACGTAGGATGGTGGCGCTGTTCCAGGATAGCCTTGGAGCTCTGAGAGGTGGAGCAATTCACAAAAAGCAGTCCAAAAACCAAAAACCCCTTTAAACGTGAGAAGGGCAAGAAAACCGATACCACAGAACAATGCGCAATAACGTGGCATGTCAGCCAAGATAGCCCCACAACATCCAGAGACTTAAGCTACTCAGGGTGACTTTCATCCACCTCCGGTGCCTTGCCACCGAGAACCTTCTCAACTACCTCGGTGACTTCACCGAAGACCTTACGGTCACAGCTCCAAGCAGCCGCATCGGCAATGGAGGTGGAGAACATAGTCCACTTGGACTCATTGTCCCCAGTCTCCAACTCACCACCAGGTGGTGATCAGTTTATAGCTCCGCCCCTCTCTTCACCCGAGTGTCCAAGACATACGGCCGGAGGTCAGATGAAACAACTACAAATTCGTTCATCGCCCTCCGGCCTAGGGTGTCCTCGTGCCATATGCACTGGTGGACACCCTTATGCTTGAACATGGTGTTCGTTATGGACAAACTGTGAATAGCACAGAAGTCCAATAACAGAACCCCACTCAGGTTCAAATTGGGGGGGGCGTTCCTCCCATAAGGGGGTCCTGGACAGTATACAATAACAAATAGAACTGGTTTTTGAATTTTCCAATTTGGGTTATGAGAGACTCAGAGTGAGGCTTTAAAATGAGCTATATCTATGTTTAGGTCTAGGGTTGATTAATAGGCTTGAGTCGAAGATCGCTGCCACATCTCCACCTCAGCCTGTGCTTTGAGGGATGTGACAGTTATTCTGACTAGATGGACTGTATTCATTTACATTGACATATTCTTTTTGTTGATATATACCATTTAATATTGGAATACCCCTTAGATAGGAAGTACTAACAGTATAAATAAAGTTTCCAACTTTTTACCCCCTTATTCCCCAAATTTTACATAGTTAGCCTACCAGGGACGGCTAAGAAAGTCACTTTTGGATTTTCCTGTTTAGGGGTCGCCACAGTGAATCGTCACACTGACCACTTGCATGTTGACATTTGGCACGTGTTTTACACCGGATGCCCTTACATAGTGTTCTCTTGTACCTACAAGTACTGTATAGATGCACTATTATAACAAAAAGCTGTAAATCCATTTTACTTTAGTTGGAAATTGCAGGCTATAGAAGTTTTACTCAGTTTTTTGTCCTGTTCTTGTTTTTCTTCCAAATTGTTGGTCGTTGTTACGGGCTGTCCGTTCCCTGTATGACTGGAGTAGGAGCTTGGTTCTCATTGCCGGCAGTAAGTCAGACCTGTTTCCAGTGCATGTTGGACTCCGGCAGGGCTGCCCTTTGTCACAGATTCTGTTCATTATTTTTATGGACAGAATTTCTAGATTTGTAGGCGCAGCCAGGTAACGAAGGGTGTCTGTTTTGGTGGCTGCAGAATCCCTTCTCTGATCTTATCTTTGTGGATGAAATGGTTCTGTTGGCTTCATCAGTTCAAGACCTACAGCGTGCACTGGAGGGGTTTGCAGTCGAGTGTGAAATGATGGGGATGAGAATTAGCACCTCCAAATCTCAGGCGAGGGAAGCCTGGGAGGTTCTGCTCAGGCTACTGCTCCCGTGACCCGGTCCTGGATGAAGATGGATGGATGGATGTACCAAATTAAGTTTTTCTTTCCAAGAAATTTTATAGAAAATTATTAGGAAATCACAGCCCTGAAAACCTACTAGTTTGCATCACACACTAAAAATTCCTACAATTCCACTAATAATTGTCAGGTTTGCCCGGCTGCGCCTGCCTTCTCACTCCACTCACTCTGTTTTTGCTCACTTACCTTGATTACATTATCCGACACACCTGCTTCATATCCCCTGATTACCACCAGCTGCACCTGATTAGTTCTCCCTATTTATTCCCTGCTCTACGTTCACTCCCCTGCCAGTTCTTTCTAGCGTTATCAGGCCCGTTTGTTTCCCGTTCTCTTTTACTGTATAGTATCTTCACGTTTTGTCACCCTAGCTCTGTTCCAGTCTTTAGCTTCATTGTTTCATTCCTCCTTGCCTCTGTCACTTCTCCGGACCATGGACCTCCTCTACCCGGCTCCTTCCTCCTTCTCCACCACGATGCACAGTCTCCTACTAACTGTATGTACAAACTCTGTTCTTCCTCAGTACTTTCCACCACGACCAGCCCAGGAGTGAGTCCCAGCGTCCGCAGCCCGGTCTTCTCCTCATCATTCAGCCACTGACTGTATTCACTTCTGGAGCTCGACACCCGGTCCCACTTCTACCTGATTATTCATTTCCTTGTTATATTTCACTGTTATTAAACTTAGCACTGTTTGCACTGAAGTCAGCCACCTGGGTCCGTCATATTTTTGTGACTCGCTCATCCCTGTGTTCGAGCCGATCTAACAATAATAGCCTTGGCTAATAATCAGTCAACCACTAAAGACGTGACCCAGTTCAGATACACCCTACAAAGTCTACATTTCAAAACTGAGTAAAATATATCTTGAGCAGATATGGTTGCCCCTTTTTTCTGTGTACATGAATACATCTTAAGGTTCTCACAACTTTATATTATAAGAAAAGTAAAAGTACTCACTCTGTCTTTCTGTATTTGATAGTCTGTAAGGGAAGCATCTGCCATACCCTATGAGCTGAACTGATCAGTCATTGGACCAGTAATCGCTGAGGAGGTGGATCACTTCTAATCAAGGCAACTGATCAGCTGTCATTATGCTGGGCTGATGATCTTACACTGACATGCAACCTAACATATTAACATCTGCTTTGAATGTTTTTTTCCTAACGAATCTGTGAATACCTGAATATCAGACCATTTGTACAATTTAGCCAAATGATTAAAAACATCAATGAACAGCAGTTTTTGTTTTGTTTTGTTTTGTTTTTAAAGTATTTGCACTTTGAATGTTGTGAAAACCATCATTTGTGCAACCATGAAATGTGAAAATGCATTCTGATAATGGAAGCAATCATGCAGGAAAGTGGCATTTTCTGGATGCAGGCTCAAAGTGTACCTGGGACACATGTACAGTACACAAAATAACTAACTGCATTAGTTTCCTGCTCCTGTAAGACACACCCAAATCATCACCAATTAAATGAACATCAAAAGTGTAATGATTACCTGCGTGTTATCAAGAAGTGTTAAGTAATTTTAGAATAATTTTATTCAATATATCCAACATTCCTCACAAATGCTCAAATTGCAAGGGTGCTTCGCAGATTTTGATTACTGAAAAAATTGACGGTGTAATTACCAAAGAACTCACCAATAGAACTGAAGTAAATTTAGAGTTGGTTTGGTATATGGACCATTCTCTTCTAGGTTTTGACTACAGGAAAGAATGAGACAAAGCTAACATGGTGTCATGTAAAGACAAATTATTGCAACCCACAAAAAACTGTTCTATTCAACAGTTTATTTAACTGCTAGTTTAGCTAACTGATAAAAAGTTATTTACTAACCGGAGATTCTCAGATTGGTTCCAAACAAAAATAAAGCAATTCACAGGTCTCCAGAATGACCAAATTCAGGCCAACCCTTAACTCAAAGATGTTTATCGGTTTGACTGAACAAAATATGCTTTTACAGCTCTCATTATCTTTGTGTGTTGACAGGCCTCATATAATGTGCTTTTTCAGTCTGGGCTCTGCCTATTCCTTGCTTTAGCATACATAGAAAATAGCTGGCATTATACAGTGGAGTCTTCTAGTAACCAAAACATGAAGTAGCAGCTTTAACTTCACATGTTATTTTAATGTGTATTACATTGACATCTAGACCAGAAGGCATTCTGGAGACTAAAATAAAGCAGTCTGTTGATCAAAATTTAGCTTTCTGAAAATCATGCTAAGCGCTTTTAGTGTAATACAAATACTAGCACCATAGGGAAACCTGGCTGTGGTCAGTAGTGGAAAGTAACTTAATAAATTTACTCAGGTATTATACTTAAGTACAATTTTGAGGTATTTGCACTTTGCCTGAGTCTTTTCATTTGGTGCAACTTCATACTTTGGTTTCATTACATTTTAGAGGCAACTGTTGTACTTTTTACTCCACTACATTTATTTTATAACTTTAGTTACTAGTTACTTTTCTCAACCAGATTAATACAAGTACAGTATAATGATAAGATTTTATTAATCTCCAGTGGAAAATTCACAAGCTACTCAATAATACTTAAAATTATAAGCATATAAGTGTGTTAACATTAGCTCCCCTTTTACCAGCTGTAACATTAAAGGTGATGTGCACAATAATGCACC